ACTATTAGGGCTAAAAGTGGTGAATTTAGTTATAATGAGCCTATTCTGTTGAGCAACAAATTATAGCACTTGGCTTCTGCAGATGGGGAACTATTGGAGGGAAGGAAAACGTAAAGGTCGGAGAAGGATGTGGATGATAAGGAGGTTATAATTACAGGTGATTACTTGATAAGGCATGTGGATAAAATAGTCTGTGGAGTAAATAGGGAGAAAGGAATCAGATTATGCTACCCAGGGGCACAGGTGGAGGATATAACTGACAGAGCAAGAGATATAACAAAGGGGGCTAGCAGAGATGCAGTTTTTGTAGTGCATGTAGGGGCTAATGATATAGGGAAAGGTAGGTCAGAGGAGCTAATTAATAACTATAAGGGGTTGATAAAGACACTTAAAGAAAATAGCCATAACTTAATTTTGTCAGGGATACTGCCCAGGGTGAAGTTATAAGTAGTTCATTAGGGCTAAATGCTAGGCTTGGGTTAGTATCTAAGGATGAGCAGATTGGCTTGTTGGACTTGTGGGATCAGTTCAGTAGAAGAGAGCTTTTTGCAATGGATGGCTTACATTTAACTAGAGTAGGGGCTGGCTTGTTCGCTAAGGCTATTAACTCAGCTGTAAGAGAAGTTTTAAACTAGGACTAGACAGTGGTGAGAGGCAGGAAAAACTGAATGCAAAAAAGAATAAGAGGCAGAGAAAAGTTTAGCATAGGAAATGAGTATAGAAGTAGTTATAATGATAGGCTTAATTGTTACTACTGTAATACTTTAAGTATAAGAAATAAAATAGATGACTTTAGAGCACTGGTAGGAATGGGGGATTTTGATATAATGGGAATAATTGAAACATGGTTAAACATATATGATTTTAATGACAAAAATTTCTTTGAAATACAGGGCTACAGGCTATTTAATAGGGATAGAGTATTAAAGAGGGGGAGGAGTGGCTTTATATGTAAAATGTGAGTTACATCCTGTTGAAATTGAGGATATCAAAGATAATAGCAAAGACATTGAATCCATTTGGGTTTCTATTAGTGGATATAAAGGGAAAAGGCTCTTAGTGGGAATTTGTTACAGACCATCAAATGATACTGATGAAATTAGTGAGAAACTTTACAATGAGATTAAGATTTCAGCTGTTAATGAAGTCATAATTATGGGTGATTTTAATTTTATGCATATGGATTGGAAAATTCTAGAATCAAACCATGAGGGAGAAAGGCTTTTAGAAATTATTCGGGATGGCTTTCTTC